CTTTGGTCTGAAAGTGACTTTAAATTAGTTTTAGATTAATCAGGTCAAACTGAGAGACTAAATGTGCCCCGCAAGATGAGAAGAGATCCTCACTGGAGTCTTGTGCTCCACCAATAGTCTACAACATGACAAAATTGCATGTGTTTTCATTTGATACTTCTGCTTGATCTTAAAGGAGAAAGCATGTAAGGTGGATTTCTGGATTTAGATCGGTAGTCACTCACTAGTTATCTTCCACAGCAGGTCATAAGCAGAATTAGTAAGTACAATTCAGAGTGCTCAACAGCCGCGGATTCGACATGTTCAGACTCATGAAAGCTTGGCTACAGGCAGATGGATGCAGTAATTTTCCTTTGATCACAGACTGAAAACAAGGCAAGTGGTAGAGTCTTGAATTTTTTAAATGAGTGAATTTCTGAAGAACGGTTTTCACATCAAATCAGATATTTTTCTGACCGTAGGAGCCTGTAGACTGCAATTTACTTTGTAGATAAAGGCTTGACTTTTTAATATATCCTTTATCAGGAGGAGAATCTCTGCCAACGGATGCCAGCTGGAGTTACTCATGCAGATCAATGCATATCTACATTATACAATACTGATTTGTTTGTGTCTATTCAAACAAAAACCAATGTCGTTTTAAGCTACCTTCTTTGATAATCATCTGGCCTTGATCACCTCTTCTTTCTACTTCATTCTTTGCAAACTGAAATAAGCTGCCAAATCTGTTGGAGTTCAGTGAACCTAGATTAACTAAGAATTTTCTATAGTGATCTGTTTTATTTTGGGTCCATGGAAGCATGCATTGTCATTCATCTAAACTCTCATTATACCACCTGTTGTGAAAAGCTCTGTTACACAAACCATAGTACATAGGAATGTTCTGGAGGAAACATAGGCACCTACCTTCTAGAAATAATAACAGTGGCATAGGATTCCAATGCTTGCTTTATTTAATGACCCCACCTAAAAATAAGAAAAAAGACACAAGAGAAAATCTGTGCCTAAGATTGACCTTAGTGGCTTTTTGAGAATTGGAATGACTTAGATACATCCTCAGCCAGTCCTTTTTCTTGGTGGCTCTGTGCTTCCCCTTCAGTGAACAAGTTTTGGTTTGGTTTAAAGGAGGAGAATGGTAGAGGAAGGGAGGGACGACGGGAGGCAGAGAGGGAGGGAGGGGGCATTGCTCTGCTGTCTTTTCTACATTTCAGTGTCTTCATGCAGGTGGGTACTACTGCTTTGGTCAGTTTCATGTTTTTGATAGTTAATAATGTGTTTTAATAATTTTCTTGCACTTTCGTTGCCTACATTGAGTGAATCTAATCAAAGGTAGTGATGTAAAACAATATAAACTGAATCATGCATCTACTGAGAAATAAAAATAAAACAAAAGACATTTTCCATTTCAAATGTTGATTTTAACTTCCATGACAGTGACTTACAACTGTGGAACAGTCTCCTGAATGAAATGGTGTAACTTAAAATCATTAAAAATCAGTATCAGAAATTCTTTCTAAAGATGCTGGGAGGTTTTTGTAAATGTGAAAAAAATGGAGGACACATTCAACTACACTAATCTACACCAGAAAGAGCGTGAATCTCTGTGAAAACATTTTCTTTTCAGTTCAATAGTGGCCATGTTTCTCTGTTAAGAAAACCTACACAGTTTCACACAGTCTCAAATAAAATACTAGAATATCCTTAGGTTCTTCATCATTTTAATTAACCTCTATACCTGGACATTTAATGGAAAGCTCCTACACCATCCTGGACTAGGTGGGGACATGGATGGCTCCACAGATATTTTTCAGAAATGTGTCAGCTGCATCATTTTCATTGCTTGCATAAAATGCATTTCTATATATGTGGCATCACAAGCTGAATTCTTAAACATATAAAGCTGAGTTGGAATCTGAAAGCTAGCATAATCCTTTAGGAGACTGAAATTATATCAAGCACCTTTTAATATCTACTCACTCTTCCGGATAAGCAGTTTTAAATGCCCCTACTCTCTCTTTCAAAAGAAGTTAGGAACCACCATGACTCAGCATCTCAGCTTAAAATATTTGGGGATATGATTCGTATTTTTTCTGGTTTTCTTCTCTTTTATCTACTGTCCAGAAAATTATTTTTCTTTCTCTCACTCTCTTTAACTTCTTCCCTTCTAACTGGAATCTCTACCTCTTACCCTATGCAGTGAAATAATGCGATGCCTTGTTATTTATGATTGTGTTCTATGCTTAAATACCGTTCTGCAGGCATTTAACTCTGGGTGCCAAAAAGTATAATATTTTCAAAATATTGTGAATTGCTAATTTTGCTTGTTTTGGTTTTTTTGTTTTTTTTTTTTTTTTTACTTTCCAAGTGGTTTGCTGCTGAGAAATTAGTTCCACTTCCCAGCAAATGATAGCTGCTAGTCCCTGTGAACTGCTCATATGCTCCTCCATGTACAAAAGTGTGGGTACAGGGGTGTGAAGCTTCCATTTTAAGGAGGGAAGAGAGGATTTCCTTCCTGACTAATGATTTATCCTTATATGCTTGGAATTTTTCCAAGTATTTATCTTGTCAAGAAGTGACTGTTATCCAAATAACTGAATTAATTCATGACTTCTTACTTTTACTTTCTGCTGTTAGTCTTTTATATAAGTCCATTTAAATATCTTCTGGTCTTAAGTCTGTGCTGGTTTTGCTGCAGAGACACCAACAGTTTTCAATAGAATTTTTAAACTGGAGATGAAGAATTAAAAGAGCTACAGGCCCTGTATCATAATAGTATTTTTAATTAGAAAATCTGCTGTAAAATAGCCACCAGTTAAACTTCTAGAAAATATTTTTAAATGCTTAAAGTGCAATAACAATCAGGATAAATCAGTAAAGGCAGATACATCAACTTTCTACACATAAGATGTCCAAAGAGTCCTTATACAGAAAGATCTATGAAGGCAGAAAAATGTTTTGTTTCACCTAATATTGACATCTTTGACATTACCTTGTTTTAATGTATGATTTAGACACAGTGGTCAATAAAGAGTGACAAAACCTGGGACCTCTGGAGAGTGTGTTGCCCTAGAGAGTGTAGAGGTTGAGCTGGGTGGTTAACTTCATGGGAGACAAAAAAACTCCAACCGGGCAGGTTTAGAAGAAAAATTACCTCTAATAATCTGATATGAAAATCATGTATTCTGGAGACTTCTTTTTCCCCTTCTGAATCATAGAATCACAGAATATGCTGAAGGCACCAACAGGGATCATCAAGTCCAACTCCTGCCTCAGCACAGGACAGCTCCAAGAGTCACACCGTGTGCCTGAGAGCACTGTCCAAATGTGTCTTGAGCTCTCTCAGGCTGGTGCTGTGACCACTGCCCTGAGGAGCTGTTCCAGTGCCCACCCACCCTCGGGGTTTATCTAGCATCCAACATAAATCTCCCCTGACACATCTCCAGGCCATTCCCTACGGTCCTGTTACTGTCACCACAGAGCAGAGATCAATGCCTGCCCCCCCTCTTCCCCTCACAAGGAAGCTGTAACTGCGATGAGGCCTGTCCTCAGTCCCTTGTTCTCCAGGCTGGACAGACCAAGTGATCTCAGCTGCTCCTCACACACCTTCCCCTCAAGGCCCTTCAACATCTTTGTAGTCCTGCTTTGGACACTCTCTAACAGTTTCATGTCTTTCTCATATTGTGACACCCAAACCAGCCCCCAGCACTCGAGGTGAGTCTGCCCCAGCTCAGAGCAGAGCAGGACAATCCCCTCCCTTGCCTGGCTGGCGATGCTGTGCCTGATGCCCCCCAGGGCAGGGCTGGCCCTCCTGGCTGCCAGGGCACTGCTGACCCATGTTCAACTTGCCATCAACCAGGAACCCCAGGTCTCTTCCTGTGGCCCTGCTTTCCAGTTTCTCATTCCCAGTCTGTCCATACATCCAGGGCTGCCCCATCCCAGATGCAGAATCCAGCACTTTCCCATGTTGAATTTTATATCGTTGGTGGTTGCTCAGACCCTGATTTGTCAAGGCCTCTCTGCAGGGTCTCCCTGCCTTTTGAGGGAGTCAGCAGCTCCTCTGTTTTTGGGAACTTACTGAGTATTTCTTCCAGTTCTACATCCAAGTCATTTATGAAGATGTTGAAGATCAGAGGGCCAAGGATGGGGCCCAGTGGAACCCAACTAATGACAGGTTCCCAGTCTGCTGTCACCCCACTCACTGTAACCCTTTGTGGCTGACCTGTGACCCAGCTGCTCACCCATCACATGATGTGTTTATCCAGCTGTGGGCTGCCCATTTTTTCCAGAAGATTTATTGGAAGATTTCTTGAAATCCAAAAAGATCAAATACATTAGTCGCCGTTTATCACCTACACGTGTTACCTTATCATTAAAGGAAATCAGGTTTGATTAAGCAGGACTTTGCCCCTCATGAAGCCATGCTGGCTGTGATAAGTGATAGTGTTGTCTTTCAGGTTCTTTTTAGTGACTCCCATAACAATCTTCTTCATAATTTTACCAAGCCCTGAAGTGAGTAGAAGTCACAGACAAATAAGTCCAAAGTGACAAAACTGACCACACTCACTATAATGCAATATACATGTTAATATGAAATTCTGTTCTATGGTACTACTAATTGAGAACTGAAACTGTTTATGTTTATTTATGATATCTTGATTCATCTGTATTCATCTTCTGCTTCAGCTGAAATCTTACACCAGCACATTTATGGGTGAAACTTTACTGACTTCTTCCAGAGAAAAATCATAGATTTGGTTTCAATTTCTTGTTCTATTCATTGCTGAGTTCTCAAAAAAAAAAAAAAAAAAAAAAAGATAAAAAAACCCAACCCTGTATACAGGAACATGAGATAGTGTTTAATAACATTTGCTATAAATATTTGCTGTTTGAGGAGGAATTAAAATGGATTATCAGCAGTGATCTATGGAGTCTAAGCTATGGCAAATAAACTTTGCATCTCAAAATGGCTACATTGTAATAATGACAATGTTTTCTTTTAGGAAAGTTCAAGGAAAGGGCCTCAATTCTGCATAAGATTGCCAAAAAAAAGTGCCAGGTGGACGACAGTGAAAGGCAGAATGGAGCTGCTAATCATGGTGAGTGCAGCATTGCAGATTTATCACCTGTGCCTGAGAGTCTCTTTCACCGTTTCATTTTGTTTGAAAATTGTTAATCATTACTTTCTCCTACATTACATGTGCAATTTTAGTAAAAATACTCTGATTCTCCTTACCAAAGAATATTAAATTTATGGATGTGACAGAAGTTAAATGCAAGAATAGAAAGCCAGTCAAGGTATATAGAAAGCCTTCTAGGCGGGTTGAAAAGAAAAAGCAAGGCTGATTTTGGTTATGTGTTGAAGTGATAGAGAGACAAAACTTTCTTGCAGTATATATGGGAAAATTTAATTAATTTATTGAAATGCTCTAGTAGAATATCTGTTTTATATGGTACCACCCTCATCACAAAAAGCATCACCTTCATATTTAAGATTTGATTTGTCTGTATACTACTTTCTGGGAGTCATTGAGGCCCATCTATGCTAATTGTGGAAAATTAACTTACTAAAGTTTGACATTAAGGCAAGAATTTTTATTTTAGTTCCAAAGTTCCTATGCTAAAGGAAAATCTGTACCATGACCTGTTTTCTCTACTTTACCTTATCATATTATCTGCATTAGAAAACCAGATACAAATGTGTCCAATAAAATCTGAATAATTTTATTACTTACACTTTTTCTGACCTTGTGTTATATTTACATAGTTTTTGCTTCCAAAATCAGGCAGTTGGTTGGGACGGTCTGTTAATAAACCATAATGCTGACTGCGGGGTTAGGAGACAACATACATATACTGAAATAATTACAGATAGTCTGGCACTCTGCTGTGGCTGTGATCTCAGATTTTTAATTTAGAAGAATCTCAGGATAGCAGTAATGTAACTAGACAGATGTATTTACTTCTATGCACAAGAGCATACCATAAGGCATGTTGAACTTGAGTAAGGCATTTCATATTGCTATTCCCCATTATGTTGTATTGTCCAAGGGATTTTGGGCCATTGACACATTTATGTACTACATAATTATACAGCTGATTGCCGCTTAGAGAATTCTGAGAGAGTCAAAGTAAGAATAAATTTTAATAAACTTGGCATCAAAAACCTAAGGCCTAACTTTATCCCTTTAAGTCCTGTGGAAGTTTAGCACATGGACTAGAGGACTCTGGTTTGAAGATCATCCCCTATTATTAGATGTTATTACACCATATGTTTACTCTTTCCTATGTTTTTACATGGAAGACAACAGGATTACAGCTTGGAAGCTACTTTACTAATTGCAGGGGTTAGTGTGTTATAAAACTTTTATCGCTGAATGTATCCCCCCACCTGTATTCAACACAGTGCATTCTATAATGTCAGGTGAATGCTGTGTGTCACTTTTTACCTGAAGTATTAGGCTCAGTGCATTTAGCATAAACAAAGAGCACTGAATATTGCAATGAGCTTAAATATTTCTCAAAATGCTAGCTCACCGCTTATAAGATTTTTATTGAAAATGTGTACTAAGCAAATTTTTTTCTTTCTTTTAACACACGTGTTGACTCAACATTAGTATTTGATAGTTTGCTCAGACTGAATATAAGACAGTTTTTCATAGTATATTTGTAATTTAATATTCTGATCTGTTGTTTTTCCTCTCTTATCTATGGATGGTGCCACAGAGAAAGGTGCAAAAGTGGAAGTTGCAGTAACACCACCGAGTGATTCAGGACCAGTGCAAAATGGAATCGCCCATAATGTTGAAGAGGTTAATGACTTTTTTATTCTTCTTTTTATTCTTGTGTTAGCAAATATATTGCATGTTTGATTGTGCTTTTCACTGAAAGTAAATATCTTAATAGAAAGAAGCTGACAGTATGAACTGTCTACATAATATTTAGTTTTCATATACACCTGAAACCAATGTACAGTTTGCCATATGTAAAAGATCTTGCATTCTGTTCCTGCCCTTTAGTGTAAGGTAAGGTAGGAGTCTGAAATCTATTATTTTGGGAAATGTACTTTTACTTTACAGATAAGATGTTTGAAGCCATAAATATAGCTAATAGAAATTACTTGTCATATTGCACAAAACCTGTTCTCTTAAGAGAACCTGTCATGATGTGCATCATTAAATAGTCAAAATTCATTGTGAAAGAGGACCTGTACACAAACTCCTGCATCGTGCCTTCTGTTATTTGCTTCATAAGATTTTTTTCCCCACTGAGTATGTTCAGTGAAAACAATGAAGAAAAAGCAATCTTAAGCAATCACATATCACAGCAATGTCCACATGCTTTTAATTTACATTTTAATAAAACATTTCCTAGCCTTGTTCAGAAATCTGCAAGGTCAAGGAGCTTTGTCATTTGAGATAATGGTTTCAGTCTCAAGCCACTGCAGGGGAAGAAGGGAAAATTGTTGCAAGAGTACATTACTCAGCAATGTGCAGTTCCTTTCATCTCCCTTTGGACAGTTTAAATTTGCAGTTATGCAGGCTTTGGAACTTTTATGTTAATTTCAGCAGGTATCAGGATATTCTGAACAATGATTCTGATGAATTAGATGTGGGATACATTATTTATCCTTATCCGAATGGCACAATAGAACAAAGCACGGTGATTTGTAACTGGTGGAAGAATGAGTCTGCAGATTTAGCTCCATCAATCTAAATGAAAGGATTTCAGGTATCTGCTGTCAAAAACTAGCAGTCTCCTAACAGCATTTTGAGATGGTGCATGCTGGATTCCTCCCCAGTGGCCTTTCCAGTTTTGTCTTCCAGTGGTAACCTGGCAGATTTTTTAGGCTGCTTCAGTATTGCTGAAACATGTTTTGTAATTTAAAAGCACATACTGGAATTTTTGAAAAGTTGTAATGTAAATAGTCTACTCATCCATGGAACAAGTAAATGGGCTTCCATGATACTTAGGGCCCTACTTCACTGTCAGGGTCTCTGCCAACTCTGTAGTGTACCAGAGGCTCTCCTCAATGTATTGCCTGTCTTTTTGTACATAGCTTCCTTAAACACCTTTCCAAACTCTAGCATTACTCTGAAGGTAATACTGGATGCTTCTGTTTCCTTCTGCTCTGTATTTTGACTTAATGGATGCTAATAAGATTACTCTTGATTTATAGAAGACAACAAAATTTGCAGGCAACAACAAAGGCCACTCACAGCATTTCTGTGACTGTTTACATTGATGAATATTAAAATTTGAAGAAGGGAACTTGGTCATTGCCCTCCTAAGCCGCCTTTTAGCTTTTCAAAACTTGACCTACAAATAGTCTTGAATTTTGATCTTTTTGTAAGTGCTCTCCATTGTATATTGATACCATTTGCTTCTAAGTAGAATTCAATCAAGTAGCTTGAAATTTAGATTACTTCTCCTTACTCTAATGCAAAAGGAATTGCTGTAGTGTCAGAATTTGGAAAGACAGTCTAAAATTGCTTATCTCTGGTTTTCAACTTGCATAGTCTAAGGATAAGGTTTTGTGACCTGTAAGTGCTGCTTAGAAAAATGCCTTTAAAAAACTGTTAGAGCCTCCATGTTGTGGTAATGATAATTTAGAAATGAGAAAACTGGAGGCACTGCCAATCTGGGCTGACAAAGCTTCAAGTATGCCTTTGGGGGAAAAAAATGCTGTCCTGAAAACTGCAGGATGTGAAATGGCTCTAGTCACATAGCAGGTCATTGTGAACCATGTTTGCCATGATGATACAGAAGACCTGCATAGACATCTAATTCTTTCTTCTCCATTGTCAAGTTCCACTATGGTCTTCATGCTTTCCCCTCCTGCAAAACAAGCATATTTCTGGGTTTTTTCTTACTTTTCACTGATGCAGATTATAGTGTCTGGGTCTAAATCCCTGGACAAGCATTTTAGAATATCAATCTCTATATCAGAGTTAGAATTATCTTAAAATAAGTCCATTAAATATTCTATGTTCCTCTAGTAAAAGTAGAATATGCACATAAGTCCATTTTACTTATAAATTCCATATTATTGTAAAATTACAGAGTTGAGGAAAAGACCCTTGTGTAAAGACAGTCTTAGGCTAAGACTGCAAGCAAAGAAGAAAAAAACTGCTTTTGTATTGTATTTTAATTTTCATATATTTGTAAAATATTTTTTAAGGATAATACTCTATTGCCATGATTTAGTTTTCCATACACCTCCCCTGGTTTCTTTAGGGGCTTTTTAGGAACCTCTTTATATTTTTCCCAAATTCTTTTTCTTTCCTCCTTTGCTTCTTTTTCAAGAAAGAAGGAAAGGCTTACACAGAGCTGAAACACCACACAAGACAGATGCCAGGATGCTGTCAAGTTAATGACTTCTGCAAGGTGTCATGACTAGGTGGATTTCACCTAATTTATTTGTGGTTTTGTTTTGTTTTGTTTTTAATTTCTTCATTTCTCTCTTCCAAACTCCACTGTATTGCTTTTCCCTTTCCCTTTTTCCTAGGACTTTAACTCCCATTTTTCTTACTCCACTGTCTTCCAGGGATATTCAGCTGTTCTCTTTCTAGCTCAAGCTCTTAAGCAACAAGAAAAACTCTAATGCTGCTTAGAGAAATTCAAAAAGGGTGTCTAGAAAATATACCCAGCAACATTTGTGATATTGAGACTCTTATTGCCCCACTTTACTACAAGTAGCAGCTGATATCCTACTCTTTGATAAAACTGGGATCATCAGCTAAGAAGGACAGACGGCTGTGGTCTCCTTCCTATTTCTTAGCTGGCACAGGAGGGAACAATACCTCCTCCCACCATACCATCTGTAAGACATTACTGCTTTATTTGAAGTCAGAAATTGCCTTCCTTTCTGCTGGATATTGCATCTTCCTTGGGGATTCTGTTCTACTTACAGCATTCTGTCTCTTAACCTTTAGCAGGTTGCCACAGAGGAGAAGATTCTGTTATATAACACTTCATAGAGTGGTACCAACCATGCACAAGAAAATGAAGGAAGACTGAAAGGACACTTACTAGCTCATTAAATGTTTTATAAAGTGTCCTTCAGAATGTGATCCTTCTGAGAAGTCCAGTTCCACCCCCTGCCACCTTCTTAACTAGCATTTGGTAGCTGTTTTAACCTGTGGCTTACCTAAAAATAGTTTCCAATCTGAAGATAACACCTTTTCCTCCCACCCACACACGCACGCACACATGCACGCACATACACACATACACATGTACACATGCGCACAGCTTTTCCTGTTTCCGTGGAAACCCCTCTGGAAAGTATTTACATGCCAACCATGACTGAGATAACTTTTCCATGAAAATATAAGGCAATTTTTGTGTCGTAGGAGAGTGGTGCAAAGGCTTCATTGCTTGAATTGGATTTAATCTGCTTACCTGAGCAACAGTCTGGCAAAGCATGTTTTGCCTTCCCTGCGAAAGAGCAGCAGCACCATTTTAGGACAGAGCCTTGATTGGGACATATCTCCCCTGCCCTGGAATACTCATTCCATTCACATAAAATTAGCTTGGTGAGAATATGAGTAGCATTGCATTCTCTGTCTCAGGGTATTAATCTGAGCCATGTTAAACATTACTAGTTCATAGATAGATAGCACAGAGAAGATTAGAGCAGCCTGTGTTGTAAGACTGTGATATATTCCAGCATCCAAATACTTTTTCAGTTGCCCCACTTGGTCTAAAGAAAATGTCTGCATCTTGTTTGCTTATTGTAACTTAAAGAGAAGATGCTGCTATCAAAAGGAGTTGATCTTTATTTTCACAATGTTACCCAGTTGCCTACTCCACATTTTTTGCGGTTGTATACCAGTTTGACTTACTTGAAAATTAGGACTGTGCAAAATGGCATGAAGACAAAGTCTTATTCTTTAGAAGTATCTCCATGATACCATAGCTGTTATTTTTCCAGGTGAGCTCACTGCAGTTTTGTGTGTTACATTGTGAGAATTTCTTCTCAAATTCCCCAAAGAGTGCTGGCAATAACATAGCATAAAAACTAGCATATAAGTTTTGGGTGCTGTAGTTTTACTTATTTCTGCAAATGCCCAAGAGGACACAAGCAGCAAGAGGGGAATCTGAACCAAACACCTACCTGACCTTACTCCTTCCTATAGGGTCCACTCTAAAGGCAGTTGTTTTTAGCTCTTTTCAGTGATGGTGCAGCAAGGATTAGCACAAATTAGCTGTCCTAAGAAGAGTGTACACATATACAGAATGCATTCTGAAAGTTAATGGATTTAATACTATTGCCTGCTTGAATTTTACTCAAGAATTTGTGAGGAAAGATGTTGCTTTCTTAGTCACCCCATAGAAATTGCATACTCGTGTACTAGCTTACCATCTCAACTTGTTTCTTTTTTTTTTTTAATTACTTGTAGGAGAACATAAATGAGTAATGTGGCTTACAGATAAGAAGCAGAAGGCAGAGACTTGAGGCTATTCATAGAGCATTGCCTATACTCTCTGCCTTTCTAGTGAAATAGATTAATGTGAGATGTGCCCTTCTAAAGAAAAAAATAAACCTCAAATTTGAAAATCACTATATACCTCTGGGACAGAGAACATTTGAGATCACAATCACATCTGTTTTTCTTGACTTACTTATTGTGAAAAGTTGGGTTGTACAGAGCTCATTTCCAAAAGAAACCTCACAAACAAGCAAACAAACAAACAAAAATCCACCCCAAAACAAAAGAAGACCTGAGCAGTCCTTTGCAGCAAAGAAAGGAATTGCCTCTTTATAGGTGGTACAATATCCATACTGTAGCATAAGCAAATTGAACTG